AAATTCGCCCCTTATTCCGCAATCTTTGGGCGTCCATAGGATGGATCTCTCATCCCTTCATAAAGATGCCCAGAAAGTTATCAGAACATTTCAAACTCAGTTGTCCTTTGTAACAGATTTTTTGATTGGTGACCTTTGTAAAAATTTCACAATAGCAATATGATTAACAACCAGGAGGAAGAAAAACCTGATATAGGACACTTGCACATTCATCATAGATGGCAACCCAATCCCTCTTTGCACCATCAGACTTGGGGTCAACTTTCTGAAGATATTCTGATATTACCTGAATGGACCATATAGTAAAAACTTTAATCAAATCATGGAGACAAACTAGTTAATTTGAAAGAAAGATATAGTGCATGCACAAGAATAACATATTTTATGGTAATCTCTTAAATAGAAAAATGGAACGCCTAAAGAACCTAGATAACATATTGGCAAAACAATACTCATTACTAAGCAACCAGTTATTAAAAAGCAAATAGGAATACCAAATCTGTTAAAAATGACTAACCCTTAGATTTTTCAAATCAATATCAAAAAGTTCCTTAAGCCCAGGCCTTTGTACTTTGACCACAACTTCTTGCCCCTTCACTTTTGCACGATGGACCTGGCCTGTTTAGAGGGGGGAAAAAGAATAGACATTCAAAAGTTTTCACTTATTTAACAAACATTGTAGCAAATGGAACAAGAATGAATAAGCCATGATAGGTTGCTGATCAAATATAATTTGCTGTCATATAACATCAAGATTACCAAGACTAGCAGCAGCTATTGGCTCATAGTCGAAACGATCAAAAATATCATCCACAGGACCAAGCTCTTCCTCAATTATAGATGCAGCAGTTTCCGATGGGAATGGAGGAACTTGATCCTGCATTGAAACCACAGTTCAACTATTACCTCAAGGCATTGAGAATATACTAAAAATATATAGTTTCTGATGGGGGAGCAACATTGGGCTAGCTCAATAGATCTGTTATTGTGTAAAGAGACTGTGTATTGCTGAAAAAATAAATTGTTTCTGATACTTGAAAACACCAAAAATATTTGAAGTTCAACAGCTTCTAGGGTAAAGAAAATTTTGGGGTTCCCTATACCTCCAAGACTTGTGGCTTTTCTGTGGCCAGTAGATGGTAGCACTGAGAAAGATTTTGACTTTAGACTAAATAAAGTGATGGAGATTCAAGTTGGCAACAGTATGTCTAATGTGAAAAAACTAGGGGTGGATTTGAGCCGGCTCGCCAAGGTAGTACGAGGCTCGAGCTCGAGCCTGGTTTGAGCTAGAACCTTGAGCTCGAGCCTGGCTCGAGTCAAAAGCTCATAAGCTCGAGCTTGTCTCGGCTTGAGTTCGACTTGAGAAAAATGTTTTATAAAAATAATATATATATATATGTATAAAATATTTTTTATTTGATACTTAAAAATTAAGAATTATAATAATTAGTTATTATATATAAAAATAAAAATGTTATATCTATAATATTAAAATAGTATGTATTAGGCTCGAACTCGGTTCGATTAATAAACGAGCCTGTAAATTGGGCTCGAGCTCGGCTTGTGGAAACCCCTAGAAAAAAACAGATAAGGAAGAAAGTAAACATTTGTTTGCACAACAGATAAGGAAGAAAGTAAACATTTGGAGTTTTTCTTCTTTATTATTAGGTTGTTATGGAAATTTCTGGTTTTCCATATGAAGTCCTTCAAGATTGGCCTGCTGCCCCTTTTTTTGTGGAAAATCACTCCATGTACAGTCTTTCTTTCTATCTTTGTTTTTTTTTTGGTAAACGACATCTACAGTCTTTCAAGTAGCTGGAATGAACAAAACTGAAGAATATTCGGGTAAATCAAGTTAACTCCCTTGGGTTTGCAGAGGCATACATTAATCCATGGCACTGACAGTGTAGACCTTTCTACTGAAAGAATTTAAAGACATGACGTGGGTAGATTTTGGTAAGGAATGGAAAGACACTGAAGCATAAAAAAGGGCAGCCCAGTGCACGAGGCTCCTGCCAATGTGGGGTCTGGGGAAGGATGGATGTACGCAGCCTTACCCCTGTATACAGAGAGGCTGTTTCCAACTTTCCAAGATAAAAAGGGCAGCCCAGTGTCCGCCAATGCAGGGTCTGGGGAGGGACAGATGTAGCAGCCTTACCCCTGCACATACAGAGAGGCTGTTTCCAAGATTTGAACCCTGGTCACCCAGGTCGCAATGGAGCAACCCAAACATTGCACCACAGCCTACCTCAGCCTTGGTTATCCAGGGTATAGAGAAGGGTGGAGAAAGGTCTCTAATCAGGTCAAGTAGGAAAGCTCACTAGAGCCAGTTATTTCTCCCCACATGGGTGAATCTTGCCTGGTCTGAATCATCCGTTAGATGGGGACCCTTCGGATTGGCCATATGTTTGCTCCCATTGTCCATACCAACCTTATACTCACCTTATATTTAAGTTTTGTCCAAGTTATATACCATTCAGACTTTCAACTTTTTTATTATAAAGAAAATGCACACAAGTTATACACCATTCAGACTTTTGGCATGGAATTATCCCCTGTAGGCAAAAGAACCCATGGAGTCAAGAAACATTTGAAGAGTGTTGTAATTGAGGGAAGCTCACTAAACCAACTGACTAGCAGAACTATACACATATATTTTAACAACAAGGATATAAATTCATAAAAGAAAAGAAATAAAGAAGAGGAAAACTGAAACCAATTTAAACATTAATTCTAAAAACTGACGATAATTGTTGGCATCAGAGGTAGAAGTAATTTACCATCTACTTAACCACTGGGTAAGATAAATGCATTGATACATAGTTCCTTCAAGTGAAAATTGTTTTGGTTTTATCACCAAATAGTCAGGCCCCACCTTGTAAATGTTTACAAATCAATTTAGCCTATCTAACTAGTTCTCTTTCTTTTTAATATCATATGTTGGATAATCATTATATCTATGTTGTACCAACATAAAATTGAACATGAGTGATTTGATCCATCGGTCCATGCTCTACTTTGAAACTACTCTATAGATCCTTGCTGCTTTCTTTTCATTCTACCACAGGACCAAATCCCCAAGGATCTTAGATCCCTAAGCCAGTGTTCTTTACATGAATCTTAGATCAAGATAATGAAAATGCGTGATCCCAAATAATAAGAGCTTGAATTTATGCAAAAAGGTCATTTGATAATGGCTGAAGTTACTTAACTCAATGAGTTATCGCTTTGACCTTCAGTGGATAAAATAAATTAAATAATAAAATATTCAAGGGTATAGTAATCTACCCAAATTTAGCTTCAACCATTAAAGGGCCCACAACGTCCTCAAAAACTTGTTCACTGTTATCAAACTACTCATTCTTTTTCAGTTTAGCTGCTTCACTGTTATCAAATGGCCTGTAAGTGGCCCGAAGTAGAACAAACACTAGAAGAATTTTTGTGCTGTACAAACTTATACTGCATGTTGGAGATATCTGGAATATTGTAAGATTAAGAAGAAACTGCTATTCTCACAAAAATACATATATGTTATATCTATCTTATGGCAATCATCAATTGCATATATAAGCACCTAAGAAAATGGAATTGAAAACAACGGTCCATAGCTGTGGTAGTCCCTAATGTGATCAACCATAAATAAGATGTTTAAAATGAATGGTATTTAATATCTAAAATCTAGCATAAGAAAAGAAAAAGAATTAAACATAGTACCAAAAAAGTTCTCAGAAAATCAAAATTTTCGTTGAATCAGCCACAATATTAAAAGGTAAAGATCAGAAGCATACTATGGCAAAAGGACATATAAATGATACCTTTTTCTTTTATGATCAATAACACTTTCATTAAATCATCAATAGAAGATTTACAAGAGGAAGACAAACACACTTATCTTCCAAGAGCAACAAAGAACCTCAAGAAAAGGAAAAAAAAGAAAAAAAAAACACTAAAGTTACAGCTTAGCCCAAAACAGTGAATCCCTTTCTGCCCCTTGTTTAGCTAAACCGTCAGCTAGGGAATTAGCCGATCTTTTAACCCAACATGTAAATGATATTCCAGCAGAAAATTTTCTCTTACCTGAAGTTCAGACAACTGATCAACATATTCCTGAGGAAGAATGTCTACTCTTGTGGAGAACTGCTGGCCAATTTTGATGAATGTTGGGCCCAATCTCAAAACACTTTCCTTTAACCACTTAGCAAGCTCTTTACGCCTATTAACCTTTTTCTCCTCTGTCATTTCTCCTGCGTATCATAATGCTCTCATTGTAATTAGACATACAAATTTTTAGATATTATAACACCATCATATCTATATATACCTCAAAGCGGCTATTTCCATTAACTAGCACTGGCACATATAGAGTGTTGTGTGATGATAGTATATCAATAAGATTTGAAGGAAACTTCTATAGGATGACTATTAGATAGTTAATAGCATAATTTTGCATGTGTACCCATTGGGAGTGGGCAGAGAAGAGTTTAGTCATGTAATAGGAAAGTTATTAGATAGTAGCACAATGTGGTGGCACAAACCACATGGAAGCAAAGCTGCTTATTTCAGTGATGAAGGTGCAGGTTTTAACCATGTAATAGGTAAACAATTTCCCTCCATATTTCTTGCCTCCACAATGCCAGGTTAGGAAATTAAACTTCATTCTGTTAGCAGTCCAGCCCAAGATTTACTCCAATTTGACAAGGATTACCATAGTGATACAAAATGAATGGGTTTTAAACATGGAATTTGCAAAGAAAGACCTCTCTGATCATCCTTGCCAGTTCCAAGTCCCAGCAGCCTGATGGTTGATCAAAGATCTTCTAGGGCATGAGCAGACACCAAAAAGAAGCCTATGTTGAGTAAACCAACAAGAAAACAGCCCTCACTGGTAAGTTAAGTAATGCATGGGTTGAGATAGCCAGAGTATAATTCATTGGTTGTATCACCATCTCCAGTTTTTTGGTGCTTCCATTGATTTTTTTTCCTATTCATGAGTTTAATTTTATCATATTGATCAGTTACAGTGGTCTACTGTGGTAACTGATGTAAATAGGGTGCTATCCCCTTTGATTTTTGATAATTATGATAGACGGGAACAGAAACCTCTTATAAATTGAGTTACTCAGCTTCTTATTTGCACTCCTTTGGTCATTAAGCTCCAATATCCGCCTTAAATCATGCAAGGCTTGCCAAAAAAAAAATGATTAAGTCCACTAGTTTCATTAAGTGTTAAAAGGTTACTGACCTCGATAAGAGAACTTCTGATTGTTCAACCAAGTTCTAAATAGAAATGTCAGTACAAATCCCCATATTTCAAGAGTTCTTTGTATTGTTGAATAGGTTTTAAATCTGTTCCAACGGCCACCAGGTGCAACAGAAACCTGCAAAAGAAATAAATAAAATAAATTACAGTAAAATTAGAGTTTTCAAGTTCAATAAGTAACCAACAGTGAGTAAAAGGTATAATGCAACCAAGATCTAAAGCACTTTCTTCAAAGAAGAAAACTTACAAAAAGTACAATTGTCATACATTAACCCATACAATACACCAGAGTGAAAATTTAAATCAACATTATACTTCAAATCAAATACAAACCAGAAAAATAAAAAATTGCAGTAAACAGTGATATTATAATTTTCAGTAATTTAAGAGACTACTCACTTTACCCTTTATTATCCCCTTACTCTTTGACCATATCAGTCAATTGGTTCATACCAACCTCGAGTTTATCTCGTCCACCTTGCTTAAACCAGGCTTCTTCCTGTCCTATGTCCTCTACAGTCTTTTTCTTCTCCTCCACCGCCTCTGATTTCGAAATAGAAACTTCTTCAACGACCGATGCGGCAGCGCCATTCCCATTAACATACTTCACCAGACTCCCATTAACGGCTCCATTTCCATTAATAATAACACTAGCACTGCCATTGGAGCTCCCAACCGAACCGTTATAGCTGTATCTACCGCCATTACCATTCAAATTCAAGACAGTCACTTCATTTCGCAATGAGTCTTCACTTTCTTCCTCTTCCTTCAGAACTGCAGTCCGTTCTTCCTGAACCGCTCTGAATCTAGTCCGCAGAACCAAATTATACCTAGAATTCTGAACCTGGAATCGGTAGAGAGGAACTCGAAGTCTACGACTAGTTTCTGGACGGAGAAACGTGGGTTCTGGTAACAGTGAAGTAGAGGCGGCTAAAGAAGCTGCCATTGCAGGAGCTTCTGGGAGTCTTTCTTTAGAATAACAATAAAAGTTCCTTGATCGAGTGACTGACTAAACCCTAAATTCCATGGCACCAGAGACGAAGTACAAGGGAGCTGAGAGCCTGGAAGAGGAAAAGAGAGAAGACAGAGACGAAGAAGTGGGAAAACGAGGAAAAGCAGAAGTAAGAAATGGAGGCAACAGGGGTGGCTACGGGAAATCCACGTGGCAAGAGAGAAGATAATTAAGTGAGATTATAGTAGTTTCTCATTGGTGGAAGCAGTGATGCAGCTTGTCCTCGCCACATATCGCTTATTTATTTTGTCTGGGCTTTCGTAGCCTTTCCCATTTACACATGCAGTGATATTGGACCTGTCGAAATTTGAGAGCCACACGCCAGAACTTCGGAAAATTCTGGCTGTCTTCGTTCAACAGCCTCTGCTGTCCATAGGTTTCTCCTCTGGGCTATGGCACCGTGTCACGTTAGTCCATACTCCATACATACATTGCTTCATTCAAAACCTGTAACTTGTGGACAGCAAAGGCTGTTTAACTTAGACAGCTGATATTTTGATTGAAACCCGACGAATCTTTAGTGAAATTTTAACGAGGTGCAAGGAGTCCGGATCTGCTGACCACAGCACTATTGTTTTGCCGGCGACTGGCGAGGTTCACCCAGCAGACATCGGGAATATTGGTTGGATGATGTTGTGAGCAGTGTGTGTGTTCAGCAGATCTGGACTGCTTAGAGAGGGAGAGGGCAGGAGGGTTATTCCGACCAACTCGGTGATTCAAAGGCTCTCAACCAAAACAAAAAAAAAATTGTTGTAGAATTAAGGGTCATTTACTTATATACCCCTTATAACTTCCTAAAACTAGTGAAAATTGTGACGGGGCATTGGTTTAAGGTTTTTTATTCCAAAAGTAGACCTAATAGCTCTCATATCAATCTTTTAGACTCAGTTTAAGAAGGAGTAGAAATATAAATATGTACAATATATATACATAAAATAATATAAAATACAATGTTTTACACTCTACTTATTTGTATTTGTACTCTTTCCAAATTAAGCCTGAAACAAAACCCTCCATTTACAATATAATTTGATCTTGAGAAGCATGGAGTGTGCATAATATGAGGATTGCTGGGGACATTAAAAATAAAAATAGGTGTGCAACTTTTTTTTTTATAATAATAGGTGTATAACTTGGATTGGGCAAATTAACATTTTACATTGCTTCGAGCTTGGGCCTTTGGACTAGGCCCATTCATATTTTGACAAAAAGTCCAACATGAGTTCGTTCAAATTGCATCCCTATCCTGAATCCATGCATTTTCATATTTTTCACTCATTTTAAGAGGTCATGTGACCATTCCCATAGGTAGAAATACAAACAGTCTTAAGGGGAGGTTGATTAACTTAAGCAATTTGCTAACTATAGGGGGTGTTTTAGTAATATGCAGTAGGTTTTAATAAATAGGGTAAATTGCTGAAATCTCACCTGAAGTTTCTGGTTGCTGAAACCTCCTCTCAAGTTTGGTAATTGCAATCACCTCCTCTGAACTTTCTAACTTAGTTGCAAATAGACCCCTTTTGTTAGAATCCTCTCAAAGGAGGCATGAAAATGTCCAATATACCCGTGTAGTTACTTTTGACCAAAATGCTTATTTTCCAAAATTTCACTTCAAATGAATCATTAGCCCAAACCTTTCCTATCTCTTTTCTGAAATTGATTTATTTTCTAAATTTTCCCTTCATATCAATTACTCAAAGGTAAAGCTGCAACTTTAAATTCACTTTTTTTTGTTGTTTATAAAGTTTGTATTGTTTTTCTATAGAAACTAGCCTCAATGGTAACTGTATGAATATTTTAGACATTTTTTAGCCTCTTGATAGAGGATTTTAAGAGAGGGTCTATTTGCCATTGTGCCAGAAAGTTCAGGGTAGATGATTGCAATTACCTTAGGGGAGGTTTCAGCTATAGTAAAAAACTTCAGGGGCGGTTTCAACAATTTATCCTAATAAAAAGTGTAAAACTATAGGGGTTTTCTAAGATGATATTATAAAACTATAGGGGGTCTGTAACAATTTTGGGCTGGGCTTGGCCCATTACTAAGCATGTCATTCATTCTTTTGTCGTTTAATTGTTATTTTTTATTACAAATAAGATTAAAATATATACTTTTTTTCTTATAAACAATGCATCTATATATATTTTGTAAATTCCCGTTATGCTACCATTAAAACGAAAATTTGTTAATAATTTTAAATGAATGGTCTATTGCAACAAAACAATAATAATAATAAAGGGGCATTCTAAAATGTGAAAGGCTTTGTTTTCTTAAACAAAAAACAACTATTGACATACATATTTGCTGATGTAGCAATTATTTTTATTTTAAAAACTAACACCATTCTTCCATAAAAATATTCACATTGTCACATGGTTTTCAAAATTGGACCGGATCAGATGGTTGGATCAGAAAAACTGAGAACCGGTTAGGTAATTGGTGCCGTTTTACCCCAGAACCGTTATTTCGCCAAAAACCATTGATTTGGCCAACAAAACATTGGCCCGGACAGTCAAACCATTCAAACCATCCAACGATTCTGACCGTTTTTATTTTTTTTATTTTTTTGTCAAAATGGGTCATCTATTTGATTCGAACGATCAGACCGCTCGACCCAAAAACCAGACCCCTGACTGGTTTATTGTTCGATTCAATTTTAAAAACTTTGCATTGTCAAACACCCCTAAACGAATGGGTTGGAGGTTCATTATATCTCTAGCCTGCCAAGCCCAATTCATGTATAATCAACCATCATGGCCCATTAGGACTGTAATATGTTGTTGAATCTTGGAGGCCAATTTAACTGCAATTTACAAGTAGATGGAGTGAGTTGTGGTTTTGTGTGGAGTGACTGGTATGGGCTAATAGCATGACTTATCCCAACATATTCAATTGTTGCTCTCCTCATTTTCTGCTTGCTGTCATACGGACAAATTCGTCCATCTCCCCTCTTGATTAGCCCTCAGGGTAAATTTTACTCTAATGACTGAGGTGTGTGTTTGGTACCATTGCAGTTTTTTTAGGCTCTATTCGGTTGCAGTGTAATTTTATTTGCACTAATATAAATACAGAGAGTGCAAATGAAAAAAAATGTAAATTTTGGTTTAATTTTTTTTGGGTTTTGTTTTATTCTTCTTCAGGTTTTATTTTATTTCATTTGTATTGCAATCCAATGTTTTTGAACCACCGTTGATTCAGACAGTTGGACTGTTCGGCCCGGGAATTGTTTAGGCAACCGGTTTCGTTTTACCCCAAACCCAGAATCTGGTCAAAAACCATTGAAAAAGTCAACAAACCATTGACCTGAGCGGTCGACCCGTCGACCTGTTCAATGGTTTTGACCGTTTTTTTATTTTTTTTTTTAATTTTTCTGTTAGAACGTTATCTATTCGAACCGGATGGTCGAACCGTTAACCCGAAAACCGGTGGCCAAAACGGTTCCATTTCTGAATCATTTTTTAAAACGTTGACAAACAAAATAAGGTAACTTTTGAAATAAAAATAAATCATAATTTGCACGAAAAACATTTACACTACCATAGTTTTACATCAGTGCAAATAAGTCCATATTCCAACCAAACACAGCCTTATAAAATGTTGGGAAAAGTATGGAAACACACGATGCAGAATTCTGAATTTCAGCCCCCCTACAACTAGCCCTCTCCCCCCTATAAACCACATCCTGCCCGTGAATTTGGCATCAATTCACAGTCAGGATGCATTCCCCCTGTACTTTGGGCCTAATAAATTATGATCTGGGCTGATTGATACTTCTCCGTAAAATGTTTCGGGGTCAATCATAGAAATCGATGAAATGCCAGGTTATATAAGGGAGTCACTTCAACTGAAAACATGTATGCAGGGATTGATCATTGCTGTTTAGAGTTAACAACAACAGTTTGTATTTATTAACCCCAAATATTTCATGAAGAAACAATAATGGTATCAAACACAATCTTAGTAGTTGAGGTGGTCACTTGGTGTCCCTTCAAAACAGGAGATACAGGATCAAACCCGAAAAACTGCAAGATCTTTGTGGTATAAGTATAGTTGCAAATTGGACAGGTTTGGATTGGACTTTTGTCAAAATTAAATAAACCTGGTCGGAAGCAGTGTAAAATGCTAAGGCCAATCCGAATTGCACCACTAGGTATAACTAGTGGACCCCACACGTGTCATGTTTTGTCGCTGCCCGAGTCCCTTGTATGATGTACTAATGTAGTACCAAAAATAAAGGCTAAATTTTACTGCTGAAGGAACTAGTCATGAGGGTCCAGTCGTCCAGACAGAGAGTATTACTATATTCAGCATTCAATAACTAGTTTTGTTCGAGTCTATCATCACAGTCTTATCAGGACTACGATGCATGTGAATCTGCACATGGGATTGGGAGGTAACAAATAAGTTCAATAAGGCAGTTAGCTTGTCTTCGGCAATATTTTAGATCATTGTTTATTGATTTGCCTTGTTTATGTTTTAGAGGACAGGCTACCTGCAACACAAACTATTTTAATGTTGTCTGGGGATCGATAATGGATGATACCTATGTATTCATGGAGGAGTGATTTTCACATCCCATTTTTATAAGGGATCACACCTTTTAAGTTTTTTTTTTTTTTTAATGTGCCCAAATCAGTCCCCAGTAAGAAATTTCCCCACAAGAATCCACACACATACATGTATATATAGAAGATGTTCATTGGACGAGTCTGGATCTATTGACTACAACACATTACAGGCCATGTTTATTTAGTCGCACATCAGGAATATGAGCGATGTAAATTACAACTGATGTTTCCAATGTGCGGCTGGATGAAGATGGCCAGCTATGTATTGTAATCAGCAGATCCGAACTCTCATTAGATAGGTCCTCTCTCAGTTTATTTTGCACACTTGACAAGGCACTTTTGGCTTGTTGAAGATGTCTAGTTTCTCAGTTAAGGGTTAGCCAGAGGAATTGGGATCTGCATCTGCTCTTCACAGTGCGTGCCTCACACCGACCCCACAGCCACATCCCACCCTCTATTGGAAATATCTTTCCATGAATAATAAATACTAGTATGGGAGATGTTCCCGATGTGTGGTCAGGACAGGCTGTGAGGTCAGTGTGAGGAGCAGATCCGGACTCTAGCCAGAGGCCTCCTGGAACGTCCTAAATGCAGATGGACAATGGGGTGGGTATTAGGGCAAGTGTGCTAGGATCCCTACTTGGAGGAATTTATCATTTGTTATCTGGGTACCTAATTCTAGAGGTACAAAATCCTAGCATTATGCCATTATCTGCAACAAAATTCTATAGATGGACAGAGAATTCTGAAGTGGTTCAATGGATTCTACTGCAGGTGCCAGGTTGTAGGTGAGGAAGATGAGGATTCTGTGGATAAAAATGAATTATAGGGGGGTTTTCAAAATTTTCCTGCAGAGGTACGATTGGAAGATTAACAGTCTCGTATTACTTTGATAGATTTGCATGTTGAGAAATGCCTTCTCTTGATCTCTTGGATCATTTTCAGCCTTGCCTGAAAATTTCAGCTTGGGACTGGCCCTGGGCCTACAAATTTAATAATAACTTTCTGAATCCCAGAAGAAAATATATATATATATATATATATATTTTCTTTCCTCTTAGTATATAGATATATAATAGTACTAATCTACTACTATATTCTTAAATCGATAGACTACATTGACAAAAGGACCCACCAATTTTATAAACTAAAAATGATTATTATGGTTTTCTTTAAATCAAAAATAAAAATTATTATTACAATATACAAGTGAAATTACCAAATTGCTTGTACAAACTCATTTGCTGGCGGGGGTTCAACCCCCACATCCTGTAGATGAGGGGCATTGCCCACCCGGGTCCCAAAAAATTAATCATAGCGCACCATGTATGAACCCAGTCACATGAGACCATAACAGTAAAATATAAGATGTCTATAGAACAAATATGGAAAACATATAAGTTTATAAGTTAATAATTTTTTTGTCAAAAAATAATAGAATAAATGTAAATTAAGTAAAATTTTATTTTATTTAGACTGAAAGGGTTTAAAATAAAATTAAAAAAATGCTATAATAAAAATAATATATATGTAATAAAAAATAAATATATAAATTTTCCATGAATTAAATAAGTTCTATCCAAAATTGTATAAAGAAATAAATAGGAATTAGGAAGTATGTAAATTAAGTAAATAGAATATTTTAATCACAAGCATCAAGTAAAATAAAAAAATAAAATTTCAAAAGCATAATATTCATATTAAAACAAATATAAGTAAATATGTAAATTTGCCATGAAAGAAATGAAAATAAATTTCATATATATAATTTAAGTAGAGAAGAATATAAGCATAAAACAAAATAGAAAATTAAAAAAAAAACATAGAATTCATATTATAAATATAATAAAAAATATGTAAATTGGCTAAAATAAAAATACTAAAATACATAGTAAATATATTATATATATTGTCTATTATTCTTATACATACATACATATATCACAACGTTCAAAGTATCGATACATATTCCAGCATATTGTATAATACGTATCAATTTTCAGTCGCCGATACTAATATATAAGAGTTTGGATGCTTTAATTGTTGTATATGTTACACACACACAGACCATCTGTCTTAGGGCTTTTAAAACTGTGGGTAATGACCTCGCTTCTCCAACACGGCAACACCCATTCGCCTCACCTCTACCGTTAGCCTTTTAAAACCGTGGGTAATGAATGACCTTTCTGCAATTGAACATTCAGTTACATATTCAAAAACAGGTTGTTTATTACAATTCTTATAACATCATGATACCTTCAGAAATGAAAAGCCATGGGCACCTGGATTTAGGGCATTGTCTGAATTTCCAAGCCAAAGAGCAATAAAGACGGGGCAATTTGCCCATTTTTTAGGGCATTGTCTGAAATGTACGTAGCAACCCACAAGGTCACAACAAAATCATTTCAGTGTATGTAGCATAAGCCATCAATTCGATATACAACAGAAGGGGAACAAGAAGAGAAAAGAACAAAAGGTCGTCCTAAAAAGCCCATCCACTTTACAAGAAACGGTAAAGGGGGAAGAAGCAAAAGGGAAAATGAGCACGCGAGTTCTCTCGAAATATTAAAAAAAAAAAAAGAGCACGCGAAGGGGTTAAACCTTACAATCCATGGAATGTTTCCAGAGAGCAATTTGTTAGTCATGTTACAATCCTTACTATGTGCCTACGAGGCAGTTCTGTACTTCTGTAATTCTGTTAATAACAAAAAACCAATTGAACTGCATAACATGACACGAGAGGTGCTTCTTTGGCCGAGTTTGACCCGGCACCTGAAAGTTCAAACTGCCACATAGCATCGTTTAAAAATTACATCAATTCATCATGGAGAAAAGGCTGCAGCAGATGATACAAATGGCCCCAGAATGATTCATATGCACAGACGTGATGAATTTCACTTTTGGATACAGGATGGGCTTACAAAAGACTAACAAGATGATAAAAAAGTGAAGAAAAAATATGTAAAAAAAGGGAGTAAATAATTTCCTCTTTACTTTGGCCCTGACAAGGTCATCTTGGACCTGACAATTCAACAGCATGGAGGTTGTCAGTGGAATCAACAAACCATTCGGAGTTCCTAGGGGGTCCAACCTCAACCTCCTGTCGAACCACCTCCACTTTTTGCCACTCTTCCCACCTCTCTGCCAAGCCATCGCCTTCAAGCATTCTCACCACCTCTGACATCTTGGGACGGTCCATTGGGGAGCCTTGCGTACAAAGCAACGCTACCTGGATCAGCTGCTCCACTTCAGCTTCTACATAGTTATTCTGCAGATCAGGATCAACCAGCATTTCTAATTTCTTCTCTTTCAGAAGTCCTTTTACCTGAAAAGTTGCACAATTGCATCAGAGGCTGACGAATCACTCAAACCCAGCCATTTGAATTACATGCAATATGCAAACATACTGAGAAGCAGAGACCTTGATACTAAGATTCTGGGTACTAAGCTCAACCTAAATGATAAATGAAAAGATTTCAATTTTAGCATCAGGCAGGTGAAAATGAATGGATGAACATCCAGTGTGAGGATTGTGACATGGTATTGTAATAAACCAGTTGTCATAAATCCAAGAAATGCACACAATCCCTCATTACTGAGTAGAAAAGAGAGGTGCTGCTAAATAATTCTTTCTCATAAAACTTGGCTATGATCAAGCTCATAGTGCCTCAGTGCTCAAAAATGCCTATATCATATAGTTCTTTTCATTTAATTCATAGGCATTATGTCAGTTGTCCTCTATCTTGTCTTTAACTGACTATTTCCCTCTTTTCTTCTATTTCTATGAGCAATACATCATAGAGTAATAGGACAACTGTGTGATGAAGCTAACAAAAACCAAAGTAGAACAGTCTAAATTAGATTTCAAGCTCAAAAATAGGCAGTGAGAACTTGATCAGCAAGTGTAACCATAATTAATGAATCAGAGTGTCCAATCTAATCTCATGGACGAATAAGATCCATTGAAATGATAAAACCAAGAGAAATCAAATGTGCATCAATAAAAATATGGATGTAAATGCATACCCAATCCAGCAACATGACATCATCATCATTTGCAAGCCGAGCAAGATCAAATGCCCTTTGTCCAGTAATAAGCTCTAGAAGCATAATTCCATATCCAAAAACATCAGTTTTCTCTGATGACTTCCCTGTGGATAGGTACTCAGGTGCTATGTGTCCAATCGTGCCACGGACAGCAGTGGTAACATGGGTATCCTTGTAATCCATAAGCTTGGCCAACCCAAAATCTCCAACAACTGCCTCAAATTCCTCATCTAGCAATATATTTGCTGCTTTGACATCACGATGGATGATCTTGGGGTCACAATGATCATGCAAATACGAAAGTCCTCTTGCAGATCCCAAAGCAATTCGCTTCCGTGTTGGCCAATCAAGTGGTGGCTCTGATGGTGGACGTTCTACAAATGTGCATTTATGTTAGAGAAAACAATTAAAAATGAATACTCAAATCTACCATACCACTTTGATACAAATATACACACAGAGAGACAGACAGAAATAAATCGAAGAGAAATCATGTAAAAGAATGTAGAGAACAAAACCTCTTAAACATGATGCAACACTTCCATTAGCCATGTAGGGATAGACAAGCAAGCGTTCAGTTGGTGTCATGCAAAAGCCACGTAGTCTAAGAAGGTTCCGATGAACAGCCATACTAATCATCTCGACTTCTGTCTGAAACTGCAGTTCTCCCCCGGGTGTACGCTCTTCTTTTAGACGTTTCACTGCAACTAAAGAACCATCTGCAAGGCGTCCCTTGTACACCTTACCAAATCCACCTCTACCCAGAATGTTTTTGTTGCTAAAGCTATCAGTAGCAACCTGTAGTTCCCGTAGTGAAAACCTTTTTAGCTGACCAAGATGAACTTCTGGATCCTCCTCAGCTGCAAAAGTAGCAGAGAATTTAGGCAGTGTTTGGGAGGGCTTAAAACAGTAGCTTCAAAATTATCATAAGCAGTGCTTCTATTTGTGGATAAATTTTTGTTGTAATGGACAAGCACAAGGAGGAAAACAAAACACACAAATCTTGGTTTTGAAAGTACTTGGGGCATCCCAGTAATTTTAAAGTAATCACAAATAGTTGAAGGCTTAATTTGAGGGCATTGCTGGCATTTAAAAAGGAATCTTAAAGTTATAAAATGTGCATGTGTTTATTGTTTTGTAAACACTGAAAAAGTAGAAGCCGAAGTCAATACAGAATGCCTCCTGCTTATCAGGTAAAACAGCTGAAAATTATCCACGAGGACAATCTAAACTCAACATGCCAAACATTTTCAAACTAACTTTTAGTTTCTTAAACATGAGAAGCCCAAAGAGCCTAGTCAAGAAGCTGCACCAAATGCAGTCCTAGTCTGGCCAAACAAGACTTTCAATTTACTCAACTTTAGTAGCTAAATCACTAACCAGGCACATCAAAGAAATGTTCTTGTGGTTTCCTTCTACGCCACCATGCAAACCCAATAGCAGGAGCAGCAAAGAGTAAAGCAGCAGCAGCAGCCACTCCTCCAGCAATTGCTCCAGTGGCACTATTTCCTCCTGAAACAAAATTTTACAAATGGCAATGGCAAATGAACTACAGAAAAAAAAAAAGGAAAGATAATCCACACACACACAGATAGATATATATATATATATATATATATATATAGAGAGAGAGAGAGAGAGAGAGAGAGAGAGAGAAACCTGGAGAATTAACAGGTGGTTGTGGCACAAATGGTGGAGGTGGGGAAAATGGGGGAGATCCTGGACAAGGATGACCAGTAACCGGGCCACATAAATTTTTATTATTAGCAAAACTGCAGACAGGAAATAAACATGAATCAAGTTAACATTAACGATCATGAAAAAAAAAATCAATACATTTCAAAGAATTTTATCAACAAGAAACCTGATAGGAGTGAACAGAGAAAATGAGCCATTATCTGGAACAGGTCCTTCTAAATGGTTGTTGGAAAGATCCCTGTTAGTCCAATTGCTAAATGTTAACAAAATATCCTTGCAATCAAGTGCAAGTCAGTAAAGGGAAGAGGGATAATGATTTTGATTGAAGACAAGATAGGTCTTTTAGAAACATACAGAACTTGCAGTGCTGAGACATTGGTCAAGGACATTGGAATCTGACCCGACAAGCTGTTGTTGTTAAGCCGGCTATCCTTGCATGAACATTCCAAAAGAAGACATAAGTTCCAGATTATCAGAATGCAATACATGAATCAAAATAATTTGACAGTCAAATGAATACATATTAGCAAGACTAACCACTGAGCTAGCCTTGGGGCTAGTGACAAACCAAAAATTATGTTAGTCCTAGTCCTAAGTCTTAAGATCTTAGATGTGATGTTAAATATCATAACACAATGTGGATTAACAAGGTTTTTTTTGACAGTGTCACAAGTCTTATTGGTGTTATCTCCGAATTGGAGTGTTCTTTGCAAGGATTGTAATGAGACTTCTTCCATTTACTAATCCCCTGTTCATTTGTTGCTGCTATTTGGAATGGTTCTTTTCTTTTTTTGGGTGCAGGGTGGGAGGCCCCAATCAACATGGCTGAACGTTTTGCTTCTACAATGATCAGATGGCTGAATAAGAGGGGAAAGAAAATGTGGAAGAGGACAAGGGCAGCAAGAATATTTGAGTAAAAAGAGAGGACAAGGGCAGCAAGAATATTTGAGTAAAAACTATGGATCTCTTTTCACCATTTACCACTGATGAGTGATGACAGTTTTAGGAAATGGAGGGAAGTGGCAGGATCTTCAAGTAAGAAAGAGATGACACTAAAATGTTGGTCATCTCCTAGAGAAGGCTATATCAAGTTAAATTTTGATGATAGTAGTAGTATGGAAAATCCAGGGTCTTCGTGGGGGGAGTGTTTTTTTTTTTTGATAAATAATGTGGGGGGAGTGTTTAGGAGCAACAGAGGTGTTCTGATAGCTATGTACTTGGAGCCAATACGAGAAGGGGATTCTCTAAGAGCAGAAACCATGGCTGTATTATTTGGTGTCAAGAAGCCAAAAAAATAAAATAAAATAAATTTCAACAAGTTGATTACAGACAGTAATTCAAAATTGGTAGTGGAATGATTACAGAACAAAAAAGGACACATCATGGGCCTATAGAAACAAAATGACATAAAAATATATCATTCTTCAAATAAATAAATTGGCATATAAAGATATGAAGATCTGCTTTATATATCAAATAAAAAGCAAACAAACCTCCATAATGGCATAATGTGATAATCCATAACCATAGCTCAGGAAAAAAAGTATCAATAAATTTAATATATCTATAAAATGTCACAATCCAAATACATAGAAACTATAGAAGACATACAAATCCATGAAGACATTAAGAAATAGAGGCATCAAGCAACAAAGGAGGAGGATGAAGGGAGGAGAGGTAGAGCCCTCATTTTATGGACTCCGGTTTCAGTGACGAAAAAAGAAAGAAAAACGATACTTTTTTGCTAAGAAAGAAAAACAATATATTCTTATCAGAGATGTGAATTCTACTAATGTGCTTGAAGTACTCAACAATTCATGCCTGTAAAACTCTCAGCATTTTAATCTATCCCCTAGTTAGATTATTTTAAGTCTAGTGTGTTTTTAGATGTCTCACATTCCTAATCCTAGGAAGTTGGTCACAGTTCATTTTGTTTTAGGATTAGGGATCAGAGATCAATTAGACTTTTGTTGATTTTTTAGTGGAAAGTTTACTACTTAAGATTCTATCTATAACATTCCGGGTTTTAGGTATTCAAAAGGTTTTTGTTTTTGTTTTTTGAAATGTTGATAGACCATTACTGGAGCACAAGCAACAATAAAAGGTCATTTAGAGTTCATAGGCTGCCAAACTCTCATGAACATGGATTATGACTATGATGATGATGATGCTAAAAAAGCTAATAAAGCGAACTTATAAAAGGTGCATACCCAGGCCAAGGTGAAAGGTAACCTGGATTAATTCCTAGAGTGAACCTAGGTTCAATTGAGACACGAGTTAAAATGCACCTCGCTTGTGCGCCTAGGCGCACATCTTAAAACAATGATAAGGCAACTAGGGAATTAGGAATACAGACCTGATCTTAACAGAAATTTGAATGAGTGGTAAGAAGACACCCAACATTAGGAGCAAGTTGAAGAGGAGCTTGAAGATGAATACATGGAGATGGGATCTGGGAGACACTTCTCAAAAAATCATTCTTTCATTTCATAGACCCTTCAAGGGTTCTACCATTTAAAGAAAACCTAACTATAGTCTAAATTCCTCTAAAGTTCTCTATTTTTTCCCACAATGTAGTTTTAGTTAAAATCTTATGGGCCAATCTATTGAAGTGTCATTACAAAATTTTTATGCTTTGTAAGAAAGAGGATCTGGATCATCTCATTCAGTGCAGCTTCTAGCAAAGGCTTGGTAACATATTTTGGGTCATTTGGGGTGAATTGAGCAATGTCCAGCTTCCGGATAAACTAATGAAAAGCTGGAACCTGGAGGGCAGTTCATTCAAATACTAGAGAAACATTGTGATACTAGTGCCATTTGAATATAATGTGCAAGCGGGGGTTGAAAAGGCCAATTATTGTCATTACTGATAAAAAAAGGTCAATTATTGTCATTGCTTTGGGTGTCAAGCAGCAACTAAAAAAAAATTATTCATAAAAGTAAAGTTGAAGGATGAGTATTCATACAGGAAACGTAGCTTTGTCAGCTTCCCCAATGAGTCTGGAATGGGACCACTGAAATTGTTCAAGTAAAGATCCAAGCTCACCAAGCTTGTTAAATTACCAAGTTCGCTAGGGATTGGTCCACTTATGTTATTACTGTATAGTTCCCTGTCATAAAAAAAAAAAAAAAAAAAAATCAACTTTAATGTTTTGTACATCAAATATTTGCAGTAATATGGCAGAATCCTCTGCTGAAAAGTATACATCTATATTGTCAAAGATTGATACATGCAACTCATAAAAACAATTTCTGCTACATACTCAGTTAAGCAAGGCCTTGACAAGCAATTTCTGTATACAGTCTACCTCTCTGACGACCCCAGATAGTTGGGACCAACATTGGGTATTGGCTTTTTAAGTACTTCAATACTATCATATGAAAAATGCAAAGCATGGCATGAATATTAAGATGCAAATTCCAGACTGCAACTGCACGTACATTTTGAATGCTTAACCAATATAGACTATCATTTTCAACTTTAAGTATACCAGTACTAATGTTTAATCATTTTGAATGCCGCATTGCTTTTTTGTAATGTTTTAATCATTTCTTTGTACAGATGGAGGTTTTTTTTGGCACAGCTCCTTGCTGTGTTAGTGTGGGGGTGTAATTTCTTTTTATTAATATTATTCATCAAAAAAATTCTTTTTATTAATACAATATTTTACCTCTTTTCAAGAAAAAAGAAAGGTATACCAGTACTAGTTATTATTGTCACTTCATTACCATAAGAGGTTAGGGGCTAAAATTGCAGTTGATGTTTATAAACAGAAGCACTCATCAACTCATGCAAATTGGTGCTGTTGAAACTGGAAATTTCATCACTAAATATGACTATTATTCCAAGATAACTGGTCCCTTCATTACATCTGATGCCTTCCTACCTTAGGTCCTCAACATAACAAGACATGGGTGAGAATAAGGGATATATGCTTGATCCACAAAATCTGTAGTGATTTTCTGACTTTAAGTTCTGATGGATTGGCATGAACCTATTTGTTTCACATGCACCAAACATAAGTTTGGCAGTTGAGAGTCAAAACTCATACACATGTAATGTGTAATTTGACCTTATGAATGATAGATTTTTTGGTACATATTACAGTTCTTTTATTGGTCCATAATTTTTGTTAGCGTGTGAAGAATAATGGTATACAAAATGTACCAAGCACCCCTTAGTGTGCTAGGCTAGCCCCAGCTATGTATCCCCTTGTTCAAGTCTTCTAATTATATTCATCATTCATGGGGACTAACCCCCCAATACAGAGCCCTCCTATTGGTCCCTGCCTAGCTAATTCATCAGTGAGGTTTTTGGATTATCTTTGAGTCCATAAAACATAGCCAATAGCTCCCTTTCCAGCTACAACATTTCTCTTGCCATATATCTATAAATCCAGGAACCATTATAGTTACTTTTTAGCCAACCCACAACTATCATTGAATCCCCTTCCAAGAACCATTCACCATCCATGGGACCTTCCACGGTTCCACCATAAGATTTCTGTAACCAAGAGTTTTGGCCAATCTTAGCCCTTGCAAAACAGCCAATAGTTCATCCCTTTCTAGAATCCCCATAGCCTATAGAGCCGGAGAAAATAACCATGATGTTCCCTTGATAATTCCTGAATACTCCACCTATGTCAGACAACCCAGGATTGCCCAGACAATATCAATCAAAGTTTAATTTAATGTGGAGTTTTGACAAAGGCATTTTGGAGAAAAGCGATGACAAGTATGGGCTGGCAAGTTTTGAATGGGAAACTAGGGCATTTCCTGAAGACTCCACCTATGTCAGACAACCCAGGATTGCCCAGACCCCCTTGTGGCTTCATTAAGCTCAACTTTGATGATAGCAGTGAAGGCAATCCAGGTCCAACTGGCATAGGTGGAGTTTTCAGGAATGAAGAGGGGAATATCATTGTGCTCTACTCAGGTCCAATTGGAGTTGGGGACTCGTTAAGAGCTGAAATTATGGTGGTTATGGAAGGGACTCAAAAGGCTAAAGAGTTGAATGTCAGGAAGTTGTTAATTGAAGGTGATTCAAAGCTTGTAATTAGCTGGCTCCAAGAAGAGGAGGAAGATAGATGGTGGTGCTACACTTATGAGAAGAGGAAAGATGTCAAATTCTTACATGGGATAGAGGTGTCTTGTAATTGGGTCAGAAGAGATGCTAATGCCGTTGCCGATACACTTGCTAAACAAAGGATGGGAAGGAATAACTTATTTTGGGCTGTTTTGTAATGCTTTTGTTGGGGAGGGCTAAGAGTGTTTATTCCTCCACTTTCTTCTTGTACTAAAATTCATCTATTTTTTAATGAAATTAATTCTGTTATTAATCAAAAAAAATGGAAGAAAGCTCTTATCTTCTCAATAAATTGAGGGCTGTTAATGTTGATTCAAATGCACCAAACATGAGATGGTGGAATGAATGTAAAGGTGGAAAATTTACTGTTAAACCCTTTGTTACAGATTAACTACAAATCAGGAGAATTGCAATTTTAGTGGAGTTTGTGGTGATCCAATTCCCCACCAAGGGTGGAGGCATTGACTTGGTTAGATGCATCGGACAGCATCTAGCTCTGGATCATCTGAAATTAAAAGGTTTTCCGATTCCTAATATGTGATTTTTGTGTAAGAAGCAAGAGGAAAACGCGAGACATCTTTTTATTCATTGTTTGTGGTTAGCTTTCATTTGGGATTTCTTCTTCAACGTGTTTAATATTCAAAAATCAAGTTGACCTTTGGAAATATTCTCAAAGCATATCTAGGCTGGGGAAAGGGGGATAATATCCTATTTGCAATCTATTGGGATGTTTGAAAAGAAAGGAACAGAAGCACTTTTTATGATATATAGCAGCGGCGGGACTGGTCATGAGGAATACCAGTTATTGATGTACCTTTTTGTTTTGAATTTGCTATGTTTTCTGTTCAACGCTCTTCACCATTGAATCAGTGAGTTGATAACTTAATCCTTTTCTTTTAATAAAAATTCTCTTTTATTAGTATTATTATTATTAGATGGAAGACGAGGCAAGCACCTTTCTGAAGCAAGGTGCAATTTTTTTAAAATTTTCAAAAATATAAAAAACAAAGTAACTTACAAAAGAATGCAAATCTGAGTTTTGAAAGAAATCAAATGTTTTGAAAACCTTGTAGACTTAAATTAAAATGCATAAGCATAAAATATAAAGCATATTCAAAGTGGGAATGTGGAAGTGAAAGCAAATATATATCATATCAAAGCACTTCAAGCACTCAATAATTCAAGCATGTAAAACTTTCAATCATTTATCCCCCAGTTGTATTTCTTCAAGTAGCTGGTGTAATGTTAAACATTTTGCATTCCTAATCCTAGGGAATTGACCCACTAACCCTGTAAAGGCCCCTTGAGGCAAGCCCAAACAAGTCCATGCAGAGGTTTGGGGTAGCACACCCATCCTTTTCTTTATCAGCAAAATATTTTTTTTGATAAATACCTTTAAATTTTATTGGATATACATAACATACAAACTTTACAAGCATCCCTCTGAGAGGTGCAGGCTGCTACCTCTTGCATAATTGAAGAAAAAGAAACAGATAACAACCGAGCCCAATACAAATATTTTTTTATCAGTAACAGAAATTTTATTAATTAGACCAAGTACAGCAATTACAGCCTCCTAGGGAAGGGGTAAACTCTTTAACCCTTCCCAAGGATAAGCATAACAATAGAAGAAGCAGTTACAAACAAGGAGCCCAATACAAATATTCCCTATTAACCCCTTGTTTGGTTAATGTATCAGCTAATCTGTAGACAAAAAAAAGTGTGACTGCTCTCAGGCTCTCAGCTAATTAATTTTTTTGCTGACATCCAGTCCCTGAAGAGAAACACCATTAGCAACAGCTTACTTGCTTACTTAAAACTTAAATAATTATTAGTTCAACACAAATAATTAAATAAGACACTTCTCTGGAGTTTGGAGCAGGCAAACCAGACTCCAGAAAAGCTCATAAGAAGCCGCTTTGTACAAAAGGTGGCAGAGATTAGGTCCACATATTGCCCCCCTTCCAAGACACTGGAAAGCCACAACCAGCATCAGGTAACAGCTTTATGTTTAAATATCTAATGAAAGGAAAAGTTATATAGGTTATGTTACAATATGAAATGTAAAAATAGCATTTTCTCTTTGACCACAAGTAGTTCCAATCTCATTTAAGGTAAGGTATGAGACAAGTAACATATCTAAACAGACAAGATGGGTTTGCTAGCAAAAGAAGAAAATGACTAACATTTAGCCATTTCCTGCATACTAATTCCGCTATTTGGGTAAATCATTGGTCAAAGATAACTTATAGAGACATCAAATCCAGTGTTTTAAAAGGCACGGGAGGCGTATGCCTGGAGGCTTGCGTTTTTTTCATGAGGCGTGCTAGAGGCATATGCCTCATGCACATCTGATATAAAAAGACAGAAAAAAAAAAGAAAAGAAAAAAGGAAAGGAGAGGAAAAGAAAAGAAAGGGAAGGGAAAGTAAAAGAAAGAGAAGAAAAAAAGGAGAAAAGGAAAGGAAACGGAAGGGAAGAAAAGAGAGGGGGAAAGAAAGTGGTTTTCCCCCTGCCCCTTCGGCTTCGCCCCCACCCCCCACCCCCTTTTCGATGCAGCCCAATTTGTTTTTTTTTTTTTTTGAGTTAGGGAGGTCTTGCTCCCGCTTCGACAAGACCCCCCCCCTTTCAACTAATGTTATGCATCTTTATTCTTCTTAATATAAAAGATTTTTATTAAAAATAAAGAAAAAATGAGATCCCCTCTTCCTCGTCATCCTCCTCCTAACCCCCCCCCCTCCTCTTAAGGAGGCTTACGCCTCCTTGTATTCGGGAGGCTTACGCCTCTTGCATTCTGAACTACGCCTCATGCCTCCGCGTTTTAAAACATTGACAAATCTTCATGGAACATGCACAACCTCTAGAAGTATGGTGAACACAAACTTCAATCAGCAGAATGATGGAAACTTACAAGTCATATAAGCAAAAAACAACTCCAAAATTTTCATATCATACATGCACAACTTACAAGTACTGCAAATTTTTAAGCTGACCAAGTTGTGAGACAAGTTCACCGGATAATAAAGCATTTCCAAGATCACTGTAAGAAAATAAATGCGATTAGAATTACCAAAGCATAAGGTAGGCAATAACAACAAAGCAATGTCAGCTGCCAATTGGCAACTTCTATATGTCAAGCACAAAAGAAAACAGCTTACACTCTTATGACACTGTTATCATTGTTGCATGTGACATGAAACCACGTGCAAGGATTGACAAGGGTGGGATCCCAACTCTGTAGCACATTATTAGGATCTTCTAAATTTGTCTTTAGGCTATGCAAAGCATCACCTGTTACAGAAGCAAGCAATAAGAATCAACTAACAGAATGAAGAACAATAAAAGTGAACTCATTAATCCCCACATTGATGCCAAGTAATGTCAAGTCAAAGACTAGTGAAAGCAAGGCAAGGGTCAGCATATTCAATTGCTACGATCAGTACAGACAGTCTACAGGCAGAAGCCTCTAGCATTTGTCTTTTTCTTTTTTTGTCAGTGTTGAAAATTCTGATGCAGAATTTCAAACAATTTTTTCCCCTAATCAGAATGGTATAGCCTGTAAAAAGGGTACAACCACCTTACAGCTTTTCAAGAATTCTCAATACAACGCCATCCACTTATATTGGCGTCAACAATGCTAGTGAAATCAATTAAGATCCTAACATTTTGATTCCATGTCACCCAGACGTGGAGAATATAATACTTAACTAGTTGAACATGCTAGAACTACAGCCTTATAGTCAATCAAGTTCTTCGCAGCCCCGAAATTGCAGGCTTGCGGAAAATTCGGAATGAGACAAGCTCAACGGAGCATAGTAGCAATTGTAACACCAATTCTACCCGATTTCATGCCCTTTTGATTTATTCCACAAATAAAAATCAACCGAAAGGTAAATACTAGAGATTCTATTCTGTTTGACCCGAAAGTAATCGGTGTATTATAAGCAACCACAGAAGCAGCTAATGGCGTGTACATTTCATCAAATCAATAGCTCAGAAATACTTAGAATCAAAGATCTAAGTCCTACAGGCCTCATAAAAGGGAGTCAACAGCAACTACTGACCTTCCATATTAGCATAGATCCTCGTCAACGGACGAAACACCAGGATCAACCAGAGCAGAACCGCAGTCACAATCTTCCGCTCCATGACTACCATTTCTCTCCAGCTCAAAAGTTGAACCACTCAGCTACTTCATCAATCTTCTCAGATCCACACAAATTCCGCTAAATTCCGCATAAAATGAAACCCTAATTTCTCAAACCCTAGCTCATCATACTCGTCCAAGTGTAGTCGCCAAAACATCCACCATTTTCCTCGAATAACGCGTCAAAAGAATCAAAATCGAAAGCCGATCTCATCAGAAAAACAAAACGGATTACAATAAACAGACGATTGCAACAGATTCCCGATCATTTCTTTCCATTACTCTTTCCTCAGAAATTCTTTTCCAGCATTAAAACTTTTTTCTCTGTTTCCCCCCTTTTTTTTCTATTAATCTTCAATATCTCTCTCCTACTTTGAAAATGGTTCGATTATCTTTTTGTTGTCTTTCTGCTGATCTTAAGTGAGGCGAGGCTGGCGTGCAGTGTTTCAGTTGCCCGAGAGATGCTGCCCGCTGCCCGACTCTAGTCAAAACTCAAAACTAAATACCCGCCCACCGGCCCACCCCCCCTTCTCACTCTCTGTTGGAAAGAGACCTAACCGGGAACCCCGTTTGGTCAAAGACACCTTCTCGCCGGGCCCACTCACTGCCACCTCGGATGCGGTCAAAACTCCTTATTAAATTTCGCGTCCGACAGAGGAAAGCCCAAAAGGGAATGCCCCGATAGGCCGATACACACTTTCGTGTCCGACTCAGCATCCCGATTACCAAACCTTCCGAAACGTTACGTTCTCTCGTTTGAACCTTTCTGCGCGCGGTAACGGTGTTAACTGGTCGCCCACTTCTTGGCTCTACGTGAGTACGTGTAGCTAAGCAGTGTTGTAAAAACGGAAACGTGCGTAAACCCGAAACTCTTCGGGTGGCGGGTTATATAGTCAATCAAAATGATCCAATACCCACGACCTAGCGGTTCAAGTCGGGCTGCCCAATTTGAATAATCTCAATTTTCAATTAAACCGGGGTTCTGGCCGGCCATCTGAATTTGATAACTGTTTGGGCCGACCCGACCCAAGTTGCCCGGTCAACAGCTCAAGCAGCTCATATAAAACAAGGCACAGGAGACCCAAACAAAGGTCGGATCCACCACTTAAAAGGTCCCTATGATGATCAGACATACTCAAGTATCACCGTATGTAATGTAAGCCTCAAAATCATATATATCAAATTTTTTAAGTATATAAAGTACAATTTTTTAGAACCAATTTACATATTTTTGTGTTACAAGTATATTATTAATATGAACTGAGATGCTATTCTCACATGCGGTACATTGAACATAACATTGAGATTGTTGCATTTGTTAAGTATGAGATAAGTAAAGAAATTATTCTTGGATTAATAAGAGAGACATTATCAGATATTTTTCTAGTATATAAACTATTTTGCTTTATTTGTAACCAACTAAATAATCGAGTTTTCTTGAATTTTCATAGATATAATACATTAATATATATATATATAGGCCTATCTGGTTTGTAGGAATAGGGGTCTGGAATTGGAATCAGAATATAAACAGAATGGTGTATTCCGATTTCAACTGTTTGGTTGAGTGGAATCAGATTTATATTTTCATTTTTAGTAGAATGGCATTCCCCCATTTGAGGGAATAGGTGAATAGCCATCCGGCTCATTCCCTCCCCTCCCTTGGGAATGAAACCTCGTTCCAGCTAATTTTAATTCCAATTCTAATTCCCACCTAAGCCAAACAAGTTATGGGAATAAATTATTCCCATTCCATTTATAATTCTGGTTTGGAAGTGAACCAAATGGACTCTCAGTTTATCTTTTCAATTAAACACTGTCTAGGTGAGGCATTTGCCCAACCAATTTTGATGTGTGATGAGGCAATGAAGTACATGCCTCATAAAACTTGAGGTATGAACCTCTTGCAACACTCAAATAAACCCACTAAAAGCAAAGTGGTTTCTCTCCACCTCACCTCAAGGCAAATCTCTCTCTCTCTCTCAAGTATGGAAATAGGGACTTGTACTTTGTTTTTATTTTTTTTATTAAGTACACGCCTCTTAAAACTTGAGGTATGACCTCTTGCAACACTCATATAAACCCACTAAAAGTAAAGTGGTTTCTCTCCACCTCACCTCAGGGCAAATGTCTCCCTCCCTCCCTCTCTCTCTCTTTCTTTCTCTCAAGTATGAAACTAGGGATTTCTACTTTTTTTTTATTAAGTACATGCCTCTTAAAACTTGAGGTATGAACCTCTTGCAACACTCATATAAACCCACTAAAAGCAAAGTGGTTTCTCTCCACCTCACCTCAAGGCAAATGCCTCACTCTCTCTCTCTCTCTCTCTCTCTCAAGTATGGAACTAGGGATTTCTACTATGTTTTATTTTTATCTTTTTTATTATTTCCAATCTTGTCCCCACCGTTGTTTCACTCCTTATCCCTTTGTGTTAAATTGAATCTATTGTAAGCCCATCGCATAAGCATTGTCGTAAATCCAACCAAATGTGTCCATTCATCCCAACTATATGAATGGGAACATCAGAGTGAGTGAGTGTGTGTGCGTGTGTGAGAGAGTCCAATTTGACGACAACTATGGAAAGGGTAGCACAAGGAAGAAAAGGGGATAAATGGAATCCACACATTTAGGTTATGTTTGGCTTGAAGGAAAAAGTAAGGAAAAGAAGGATAAGACAGGAAAACTTATACATGGTTTGTAAAAATTTTCTTACATTTTCCTTCAAACCAAACATAGCTTTAGAGAAAACAAACAAAAGGAGAGAGGTTGTGCAAGAATTGGCACATGTTTGATGACTCATGACTGTCACAAGATGGGATAGATGGACATGGACTCGTCTAATTGGATTTATAAAAAGGTTTATTTATATATAGGGACAAATCTGCAGCAAATCTGTGCTTCCTTGTGTTACTCCTAAAGAGAGTGATTCCAAGTGAATCAACTCTGGTCATATTCGAATTTGAATCTAGGGAAATGATGGTTAGGAGTCCATTCAATATTTAAACAGACCCTTAAAAGGCCTATCAAATTTGAATTCGACCAATTTTATTTGAATATCCAAATCCGGATTAGATTAAATTGAATTATTTTAATATTATACTTTTTATTAAATTAAGAAATAACATGGAATATTATTGTTGTTGCCAAGGATGGATCGAGGGCAACAATGTAATTACGCTTTCGTAGATGAGGGCTAATTGAATCCGAGGGTTTCATTGTCCGACTTGTGAATAAGAGAACACGTCAGAGACCCCAGGTGTTATCCCAGGGGCGGAGGCTCCGATAGTCAAATTGACATTCCCATATGCGCCTACATCAATTATTTTACTAGAGAGAAACAAAGAGTATTTAGGTATTCCCATATTTGTATATTATTGTTATACTCATTTTAGATATATTTTTTGTTCGAACCAGTCCATATCCAAATTCAACCCCGTAACACTAAATGTATAAATTTAAGACAAAATCTACAATGCATCAACCGTACCAAGCAGCAAAATATGTGAACTAGTGATAAAATGAAATAGCAAATTGATACCTTTAGCATTATTAATATCTTCATGCTTGTGAGATCTAAACAAAGTAAATATACCATGTAATAACTTTAACATGATTAATTAAAATTAAGGTTCAAAATATTGATAGTTGGACAAATCGATACCCATTATATATATATATATTTGCAACTGATTAGGGGGGTGGTTTAGGTCTCCTCCATCCCCTGGAACAGTCAGACCCCCGATACATCCAATGTAAAAGCGTATTGGAAGGGTGCCAAAATAATACGTATCAGCTGATATGGGTCACTACATATCAATACTTTGAACATTGATTAAAATCTTTATTTAACATCTAAATATCAATATTTTAAAACTCAGAGCGGACTAAAAACTGGCCTACTTTCTGGGTCTTGGTTTTACCAGTTAATTGGGCAATTTGCTCACCCAACCCACCAAATCCCTCGTTTAATCAAGGCCTGAAAAGGCCACCGGTTCCCGATTTTCATGGTTCAGGGCAAGTTTTAAAACATTGGTGAATACAATAATTAGACTCTAAATAAATAAATAGATTTTACTTTTTACTAACATACAAGTGAGAGGCATGAACATGATGGCATATTGGCATGCCTGTTCATTGATATCCAAGCTGTCCAAATTCATCCCCCTAAATTGTCTTAAGATGACCAACGTCCACATGTAAAAAAAAGGAATGCTTGACTATGACTCTACCATTTGCAAGTTATCCGAAAAACAAACAAACAGAAAAGAGTAATGGATCTTGTTAATTTGTCCGCGTCTATTGCTAAACGTGTAGCCCTCACAAAGTACACGTCTCTTCATGTTACCACCTTTCCATGTGGCAAATGTTTAGCCAATAAACCACTGCCACGTAGCTTTTAGTAGAGTCCATCGGTCTCTGTTCATTTATGAATAAGGACTAAAGATGTACATTGTAAAAGGTGGTACTAATCGAGTGAGAAAGGTTGGGTTGTACAATTGGCTGTTTCATGTCAGCAATTCATGGTTGGCACTTGGCACTTAACTGTTTGTATGGGGATTGATAGAAGGGCTGAGGGATCTTATTCTGTCACAATGGGATTTTGAATTTTTGATTCTTCCATCGACAGAATATTCAATTTTGTGTTCCAGACACGACAGTCGACGGATGTTTGGGGCAACTGGGCAAGGCAGTCCGACCCTCGTAAATTGCAATCCTTTTATGTTTGGAAAGCCGGGACCCACTATCGAATTGGTCCCACCAAGTTGATTAGTTGGGCCAGAATTTTATTTTATTTATGGATGACCATAGATCAATTCGGACCATGATCAGCAACATATGCATATATGAAAAAAATTATAATGTAACAGAATAACATCATAATTTCATACCTTCACTTCGTATTTTTTGAAAATCTATATTATCCGTGTTATATTTTGGGGAAAATCTATGATGCGGGAAAATTTACCACGATTGTGATTTCAGTTGATTGGTATAGTTAAATCCATTTTTT